GGAATTTTATCAGGTATCATGTTAATTTCATTTGTTCATTTGTGAGGGGACTCGGCGAGTTGGAGCTCAGACTCGCCGAGTAGGGACGCGGATTTGGACGAAGGATCGCGCCTGGACTCGGCTCTCGGCGAGTCTGCGCTGTGTAATGAAACCCTAATTTCTCAGGTTTGAGACTTATTTAAAGGGCCTAATGGCCGTCATTTGTGCCCACCAGCCCCTTGAGTGAAACCCTAATCGTGTGTGAGCACTTGGAGCTAAGTAGGAGGCCATTATTGACCTTGGAGGTGCCATTTTTGCAAGGAAGAGAAGAGCTAGCCAAAGGGAAAGCAAGAAGGAGCCATTTCTGTGGGTTAGGAGTCCAGAGCATCATTTTGTGGTAATAAATCCGAGTTACCTTCTTGTTTGTTGTTGTTTATTTAGATTTAGGGTTTGTTAAACCCTTTCATGGCTAGATTTGGTGCCCTTTTGGTCCCTTATGAGGTTGGAACCATAGATCTGGACCCTTAGAGGTCCAGAGTGTCCCTTTACCCAAGCTTTTTGGGGATCAATGGAGGCTTTGGATTGGAATCCTCATGCCTTAGGTCAAAAACTCCATTATGGAGCTATAGGGGGTGTTATGAGCACCAAGATGGGAACTTTACGTGATGAATCAGTCGAGGGAGGCCAGATCTATAGTTTTTGGAAGCAGATCTGACCTTAGAAGCGAGTTGGAGTGGTTGCATGGCATGGACTCGCCGAGTCTGTTCATCCGACTCGGCGAGTATCTTGAAGATTGCCTTGGGACTGTTCAGCGAGTGGTCCAATCGAGTCATGGGTAGACTCAGTGAGTCAGGGTGAGTTGGAGGAGGGTGACGGGTGGACTGAGTCAACCTTGGACTCGCCGAGTTGTCCTTGAGACTCGGCGAGTTGAGTCGGGGTGGCCCTGCGATTCATACAGGTGAAACTCGTCGAGTAAAGGGGGGGATACTCGACGTGTAGTAAGAGGATTTCAGAGGGTTGGTAAAAACGTCTAGACTCGCCGAGTCGCCTTGGTACTCGCCGAGTCCGGTCAGAGTTGACCGTTGACCGTTGACCAGAGTTGACCTGTGTTGACTCCTTATTGATAGTCAACCTTAGAGATATAAAGTGTTAATTAGAAGCATATAATGTTATAGGAGGATTAGAGCTCGGAGGATGAGCACGAGGGATTTCCAGGATTCGTGAGATACCGAGATACGCGAGGTGAGTCTTCTCACTATACTACATTACCTTGAGTAGGTAACCTGAGTTATGTGTTAGGGTATTGTATGCTATGCATGTTATGTGTTGTACTGCATTATTTCTATGTGATTTATGTAGTGCATGTTTATCAGATCTAGAACCTGAGGGTTCACAGAGTTTGGGTGCACGGACCCACAAAGTTATAGCCTCGAGTGGCTAATATGTGTTATATGTGGTATTTTGGGGAACTCATTAAGCCTTGTGCTTACAGTGTTTGATGTTATTGTTTCAGGTACTAGTGACGATCGCGGGAAGGCGACTTGATCCGTACACACACACTCGGAGTTTTTACATTGTGATCTTGGGATTTTGTATTGACCTATTTTGGATAATTAAATGGTTGTTTGATGAATATTGATGGAATTATGTTTTATAAAAATTGAAAAATTTGTTTTGAAATTTACGGTGTTACAAAATTGGTATCAGAGCCTTGGTTTGAGGGATTCGGGTACACCTTCGGGAGTATTTGAACTCAAACTGAGGAATTGGAAAGATATTTTCAAATAAAACCAAAATTTTCTAAGAGTAAAAGACTTTCTTGAAAAAGAAACAAATTCCAGGAAGAAACGTGTGTATGATCAGTCAGCGCCCGAATGGTGAATTCCCAAAATACCTTTATATTACGTGATATTAATATTAATATGATGTGTTTGCATGCTAGAGTAGGCTAGGTATTGTAATAGGACTAGAGTGGCCTGATTTGTGATGCCTTAGCCTAGGGAGGGGTGAGCTGCTATGAGATGCTGAGAGTGAGTAGGTAGCAGCTAGGGGTTTATGAGAGATCTGTTAGAAAGTGGTTTACGCATGATAGAGTACTTGGGAATTGGGATCCGAAGAGGAAGGTCTGGGGTGTGTACTGAGACGGTGTGGACAGTAGTATTGGGCCCGTACTACTGAAAGCACCGGGGCAGTACACAGTCCAAATAAGAATCTTGGGATACCAAGAATCAAGGAGGGGTGGATTGTCGGATGTAAGAGTGTTCGAGTGAATTCTAATTAATCTCATGTTGTATTTCAGGGTTGATCATGGTGAGGACACGTCATATGCCGGAGGATGCCGGAGCTAGTGATGAGGAAGATTCGACAGATCATTCATGAGGAGGTGGCTGCGGTCATCAGAGCTGAGATACCAGAGATGTTTGGGTCTATTAAGACCGCGCTAATTGAGACATTTGACGAGCGTTATGCCGCTCTTTCTGAGGCTGCTGTTGCAGCAGCTATCGCAGCGATCGCTGCGGCGAGACCCCAGGGAGGTGATGCGTCACTGTTTAGGGAATTCAGCAACACCAAACCACTAGAGTTTGATGGTACACAGGATCCGGTAGCAGCTATGAGGTGGATATCTGACATGGAGGGGTGCTTCTTCACTTGCTCATCCCCTGAGCATTTGAAGGTTCGGTTCGCGCTGAACCAGCTTCGCTTGGGAGCGAAGGACTGGTGGAAGTTTGTGACGGCGCACTTCACGCCTACTGAAGCTTTCGGCAGTGACCTGGGAGAGGTTCACTACCATGTTCCGAGATGAGTATGTTCCACAGGTGGAGAGGGAGCGTTCTGGCACATGAGTTTCTAACCCTCAAGCAGGGTACCGAGTCAGTTACAGCGATCACGAGGATGTTTCATGAGAGGGCGATGTTCTACCCTGAGCACGTGTCCACTGAGCAGGCACGTATGAGCCACTACCTGAGCATTCTGAGACGGGATATTCGGAGTTCGCTGCGAACTCCTCGTATCGGACATTTGCTGAGCGAGCTTGAGACTCAGGCCAGGGAGGAGGCGGAGTCTCTAGGGAGGGATCGGCGGCCGCACAGTTTCAGCCGGCAGCCAAGCGGGCCAAGCCCGCTGATCCCAAACCCGGGAGCCAGAAGGGCCACACTTGTGGGAAGTGCGGAAAGGGTCACGATGGAGTCTGTCGAGCAGGGTCTTGCTACAAATGTGGCAAGGAGGGGCATATGGCCAAGGACTGCCCCAAGGGGTTTGTAGTGTGTTTTCCACTACAACCAGACCGGACACCGGAAGGCGGAGTGTCCACTGCTGCGTGGAGCGTCTCAGGGATCTGCTCCGCCGCCATCAGAGCTACAGAGAGTCGGACCGTGAAGGCCGAGGCACCGAAGCTCGAGGGAGAGCCTTTCAGCTAACTGCGGAAGAGGTCCGCGCGGCACCCGACGTTGTGGCTGGTACGTTTCCTTTTATATATTTATTTTTGGTGTTGAGATATTATGCTTATATTATGCTATGCATAGGTACCTTCCTTGTGAACTCTGTGCCTGCTTTAGTGTTATTTGACTCGGGTGTGAGTCGGTCTTTTGTATCTTTGGCCTTTAGTCAGCATATCAATGTTAGTCGTGAGGCATTGAGTCGGCCTCTGCGGGTTTCCATAGCCGCCGACAAAGTGATTTGTGCCACGGAGGTCCTCCGGGGATGCGTGTTAGAGATTTTTGGTGTCGAGTTCCCGATCGACCTAATTCCTATTGCGATGGGTGATGTCTGTGTTATCGTGGGCATGGACTGGTTGAGCCGATTCGGCGCGGTTATCGATTGCGAGCGTCAGCTGGTGACCATACGAGATCCTAGTCGGGGAGTTCTTTCGGTTTACGGTGAGGGTACACGTTCTGGATCAGCCTTTTGTTCGGCTGCTAGGGCGAGGCAGTGTTTACAGCAGGGCTGTAAGGGTTTCGTGGCGTATGTGATGGATACGCGAGTGATCTCCGAGAGACCGAGTTCAGTGGATGAAGTTCCGGTGGTGCGTGAGTTTCCAGATGTTTTTTCCGAAGAGTTGCTAGGTGTGCCTCCCGTGAGGCAAGTGGAGTTCGGTATCGATTTGGTTCTGGGAGCCGCGCCTATCGCTAAGGTGTCTTATCGCCTTGCACCTCCAGAGATGCAAGAGTTATCCTTGCAGCTTCAGGAGCTGCTGGGGAAGGGGTTTATTCGGCCGAGTAGCTCGCCGTGGGGAGCACCCATTCTGTTTGTGAAGAAGAAAGACGGCTTGCATCGCATGTGTATTGATTACTGAGAATTGAATAAGCTGACGGTCAAGAACCGTTACCCATTGCCGAGGATCGACGATTTATTCGATCAGTTGCAGGGAGCATCTTGGTTCTCCAAGATTGATTTGAGGTCGGGCTATCATCAGGTGAGAGTGCGGGAAGAGGACGTCCAGAAGACAGCATTCAGAACGCGTTATGGGCATTATGAGTTTGTGGTGATGCCTTTTGGGCTCACCAATGCCCCGACTGTGTTCATGGACCTCATGAACAGGGTATGTAGGCCGATGTTGGATCGGTCGGTGATTGTGTTCATCGATGATATTTTGGTATATTCGAGATCTAGAGAGCAACACGAGGAGCATTTGAGGGAGGTTCTTGGAGTTTTGAGATCGGAGAAACTTTATGCAAAGTTTTCCAAGTGCGATTTCTGGTTGCGAGAGGTCCAGTTTTTGGGGCACCTCATTAATCAGAAAGGGATATTGGTCGATCCGGCCAAGGTTGATGCGGTGATGAGGTGGGAGG